GTATGTGTGTCTAGGTGTGTCTGTGTTTTTCCGTGTGTGTGTCTGTGTGTATCTGTGTTTGTATATCTGTGTGTGTCTTTGTATGTCTGTATGTATGTGTATCTGTGTATCTCTGTGTCTCTGTATGTCTGTGTGCCTGTGTCTGTGTGTGTCTCTGTGTGTGTGCCTGTGTCTGTGTGTGTCTCTATGTCTGTCTGTGTGTGTGTCTGTGCCTGTCTGTGTGTCTAGGTGAATCTGTGTGTGTCTGTATGTCTGTCTTTGTGTTTTTGTGTGTATGTCTGTGTCTTTGTGTGTCTGTGTGTATCTGTGTGCCTGTATGTTTGTGTGTGCCTGTGTCTGTATCTATGTGTCTGTGTGTGTCTTATGTCTGTGTATGTGTGTGTGTGTATCTCTGTTTGTGTCTCTGTATGTCTGTGTGTCTGTCTGTGTCTATGTATATCTGTGTGTCTGTCTGTGCCTCTGTGTGTGTCTTTGTGTGTTTGTGTATATGTCTGTATCTTTTTGTGTCTCTGTCTGTGTGTTTCTGTGTATATGTATGTGTCTGTTTATCTGTGTGGGCCTGTATGTATGTGTCTGTTTGTGTCTGTGTCTGTGTGTGTCTAGATGTATCGGTGTATATCTGTATTTCTGTGTGTGTGTCTGTATATGTATCTGTGTGTGTGTCTTTTTGTCTGTATATCTATCTGTGTCTCTCTGTGTCTGTGTGTATCTGTGTCTGTCTGTATGTCTGTATATGTATCTGTGTGTATCTGTATGTCTGTGTGTGTATGTCTATGTGTGTTTAAGTGTTTCTGTGCATGTGTGTGTATATATCTCTGTATGTGTGTCTGTGTGTATCGTTTGTCTGTATGTCTGTGTGTGCCTGTGCATCTGTGTGTCTTTGTGTGTTTGTGTATATGTCTGTGTCTTTTTGTGTCTCTCTCTTTGTGTGTCTTTGTGTATCCATGTGTATGTATGTCTGTGTGTGCCTGTGTCTGTGTATCTTTGTGTGTCTGTGTCTGTGTGTGTCTTTGTGTATCTCTATGTGTGCCTGTGTGTCTTTGTCTCTGTGTGTGTCTTTGTGTGTTCGTGTATATGTCTGTATCTTTTTGTGTCTCTGTCTGTGTGTGTCTGTGTTTATCTGTTTGTCTGTATGTCTGTGTATCTTTGTGTATCTGTGTGTGTCTGTGTATGTCTATGTCTGTGTTTTTGTGTGTTTGTGTGCCTGTGTGTCTTCGTGTGTCTCTGTGTGGGTCTGTGTCTCTGTGTTTGTCTGTATCTGTATGTGTACCCGTGTCTTTGTGCATCTGTGTGTTTGCCTGTATGTCTGTGTCTGTGTGTCTGTGTCTGTCTGTGTGTGTCTAGGTGTATCTGCATGTGTCTGTATGTCTCTGTATGTGTGTGTATGTATCTGTGTGTGTGTGTCTCTGTATGTCTGTGTATCTGTCTGTGTCTCTCTCTGTGTATCTGTCTGTGTCTCTGTGTATGTATCTGTGTGTGTCTCTATGTCTGTGTGTGTGTGTCTGTGTACGTCTGTGTGTATGTATATGTGTGTGTCTGTGTGTCTGTGTATGTATCTGTGTGTGTCTCTATGTCTGTGTGTGTATGTGTCTGTTTGTGTGCCTGTATGTATGTATCTGCGTGAGTGTGTCTGTCTGTGTCTCTCTGTATGTATCTGTGTGTGTCTGTGTATGTATCTGTGTGTGTCTCTATGTCTGTGTGTCTGTGTATGTGTGTGTATCTGTGTGTGTCTGTGTGTCTATGTATGTATCTGTGTGCGTCTCTGTATGTCTGTGTATCTGTCTGTGTCTCTCTGTGTGTATCTGTCTGTGTCTCTGTGTATCTGTGTGTGTCTCTATGTCTGTGTGTCTGTGTCTGTGTACGTCTGTGTGTATGTATCTGTGTGTGTCTGTGTGTCTGTGTATGTATCTGTGTGTGTCTCTATGTCTGTGTGTGTCTGTGTGTGTGCCTGTGTCTATGTATCTGTGTGTATCTGTGTGTCTGTGCGTGTCTTTGTGTGTCTATGTGTGTGCCTGTGTGTATGTTTCTGTGTGTGTGTATCTGTCTGTGTCTCTGTATGTATCTGTGTGTGTCTGTGTATGTATCTGTGTGTGTCTCTATGTCTGTGTGTCTGTCTATGTGTGTGTATCTGTGTGTGTCTGTGTGTCTATGTATGTATCTGTGTGTGTCTCTATGTCTGTGTGTCTGTCTGTGTGTGTGTATCTGTGTGTTTGTGTATGTATCTGTGTGTATCTATGTGTGTGTATCTGTCTGTGTCTCTCTGTATGTATCTGTGTGTGTCTGTGTGTGTGTATCTGTCTGTGTCTCTCTGTATGTATCTGTGTGTATGTATGCACCTGTGTGTGTCTCTATGTCTGTGTGTCTGTCTGTGTCTCTCTCTGTATGTATCTGTGTGTATGTATGCACCTGTGTGTGTCTCTATGTCTGTGTGTCTGTCTGTGTCTCTCTCTGTATGTATCTGTGTGTATGTATGCACCTGTGTGTGTCTCTATGTCTGTGTGTCTGTCTGTGTCTCTCTCTGTATGTATCTGTGTGTATGTATGCACCTGTGTGTGTCTCTATGTCTGTGTGTCTGTCTGTGTCTCTCTCTGTATGTATCTGTGTGTATGTATGCACCTGTGTGTGTCTCTATGTCTGTGTGTCTGTCTGTGTCTCTCTCTGTATGTATCTGTGTGTATGTATGCACCTGTGTGTGTCTCTATGTCTGTGTGTCTGTCTGTGTCTCTCTCTGTATGTATCTGTGTGTATGTATGCACCTGTGTGTGTCTCTATGTCTGTGTGTCTGTCTGTGTCTCTCTCTGTATGTATCTGTGTGTCTGTGTATGTATCTGTGTGTATCTGTGTGTGTATCTGTCTGTGTCTCTCTGTATGTATCTGTGTTTATGTATGTATCTGTGTGTGTCTCTATGTCTGTGTGTCTGTCTGTGTCTCTCTCTGTATGTATCTGTGTGTCTGTGTATGTATCTGTGTGTATGTGTGTGTGTGTATCTGTCTGTGTCTCTCTGTATGTATCTGTGTTTATGTATGTATCTGTGTGTGTCTTTATGTCTGTGTGTCTGTCTGTGTATGTGTATGTATCTGTGTGTGTGTGTCTGTGTATGTATCTGTGTGTATCTGTGTGTGTATCTGTCTGTGTCTCTCTGTATGTATCTGTGTGTGTCTGGGTATGGATCTGTGTGTGTCTCTATGTCTGTGTGTCTGTCTGTGTCTCTCTCTGTATGTATCTGTGTGTCTGTGTATGTATCTGTGTGTATCTGGGTGTGTGTATCTGTCTGTGTCTCTCTGTATGTATCTGTGTGTGTCTGGGTATGGATCTGTGTGTGTCTCTATGTCTGTGTGTCTGTCTGTGTCTCTCTCTGTATGTATCTGTGTGTCTGTGTATGTATCTGTGTGTATCTGGGTGTGTGTATCTGTCTGTGTCTCTCTGTATGTATCTGTGTGTGTCTGGGTATGGATCTGTGTGTGTCTCTATGTCTGTGTGTCTGTCTGTGTCTCTCTCTGTATGTATCTGTGTGTCTGTGTATGTATCTGTGTGTATCTGGGTGTGTGTATCTGTCTGTGTCTCTCTGTATGTATCTGTGTGTGTCTGGGTATGGATCTGTGTGTGTCTCTATGTCTGTGTGTCTGTCTGTGTCTCTCTCTGTATGTATCTGTGTGTCTGTGTATGTATCTGTGTGTATCTGGGTGTGTGTATCTGTCTGTGTCTCTCTGTATGTATCTGTGTGTGTCTGGGTATGGATCTGTGTGTGTCTCTATGTCTGTGTGTCTGTCTGTGTGTGTGTATCTGTGTGTGTGTACATGCATACCATACATGACACTCATGAGGTGGTGAGAGGACAGCCTCCCATGTGCCTTCCTCCTCGTGCTTGAGACAGGGTCTCTCACTGGCCTGGAACGTTGCTGTATCGACCAGACTCCCGGCTCTGAACTTCCCGGGACCCACCTGGTGCTGGCCACGCTGCCAGACTTGTCACTTAGATTTCAGGGATCCAAACTCAAGTCTTCATATTTGCAAGGCAATCACTTTACTGACCAATGCATCTCCCCAGATTTGTTTGTTTGTTGTTTGCTTTAAAGATCTTCAAAACTAGCTGGGTGTGGTGATGCAAGCCTTTTAAACACAGCACAGGGGAGGCAGAAGCAGGCTTCTCTGCGAGTTCAAGGCCAGCCTGGTCTACATAGCAAGTTCCAAGACAGCAAGAGCTACATGGAAAGACCTGTCTCAATCAATAAACAGATAGCTGGGAGGTGGTGGCACACGCCGTTAATCCCAGCTCTCAGGGGCAGATGCAAGAGGATCCCTGTGAGGTTGATGCCAGCCTGGTCTACACAGCTAGTTCTAGGACAGCCAAGGCTATACAGAGGAACAATAATAAATAAAGAAATAAGTCTCCAAAGCTAGATTATCAAAAGTCAAGCGCTGATCATTCCGTACCAGAGTTCAAGGTGAAGAACCACAGCTTATTAGCAAAGGATTAAAAGAAACAATATTCAGTGCTATGAGCACATGGGAAATATGATTCTTATACTTGGGCTATTCTGGAGTAGCCTGGACTGCTGCTATGGAGGACTCTATAAATAACCGTCAGGGTCTGGCAGGCGGGGAAATGTGTGAGAAGAGCATGCTTACAGCAGCATGGCTCAGGGGAATGTGCTCGTGAAAGGTGATGAAGTGTCCAGATCAGGAAAGGAAATGAGTTATGGCACACTTGGGTATGTATTATCATAAAACAATGTCTTATTATAAAATGAAGTAATATGCTTATCATCTAGGCATATTATAATTGATTTAACACTGTAGTGCTACGGCAAGGCAGCTCTGAAAAAGGAAAAGAATGGGGCAGGAAAACCAAAGACCCCAGAGCCCTCTCTCAGATGTGCCAAAGGGAATTACAGAAATTTCCAAAAAGGCGTGTGCAGCCTGTGCCCACCCACTGCCTGACTCTAATCAGCACAGCACCCCAGGAAGAGCTGCTGCAAGCTCTTTGCCCTCACCTTACCTTGAAGGTTTTATCCATGGAAGCTGAGAGAAGCATGTGGCTCTTACGAAAGACCGGACACCACTGAATACTGTTGACAGGGCCCCTGTGGCCTCGCAGGTGGAAAAGCACTCTCTTGGGGACCTTGGTCTCTCTATGCTGACTGTTCAAATACGGCTGGATGAACTCAGACACTGTGGGAGGCACACGGAGGGGCGCTGGGGCATATCCTGCAGGGGGTCCCGGAGGCTCTTTGTCTTTGCCCCCATCTTCTGGATTCTGTGCCTGCAGCTGCCTCAGTCTCTTGGGGGTATAGGGAACCACACAGTCCTCACCCCTTTTCCTCTGAGAAGAGCTGGCATTTCCAGCAGTGCTTTCAGCTTCGCTTTGAGTATGAGAAGATGAGCTGCGGGCATCCCAGGCAGATTTTACTGACTTCAAGCAGGCAGCTGCCAGAGGCACGTGACCAGCTGGAGCTCGGCTCATCCACGAAGGATGAGGAGGCTTACTGATGGAGAAGGCGGCATCAGGGTCCTTTGAGGGCCACTGTAGCCTCTGGCTGGGGCAAGATCCCGGGTGACTTCTCCAGATCCGAGCCAGCGGCAGACGTTGGTCCCCTGTGTGTTGTGCCCCCTCTTTTGTCACAGCCACTGTACCAGAAGCAAAGCCCATCCCAGAAGATCTGGTCACGGCAGAGGCATCGTCCATCTGACCTTCAGAGTTCACACTTCTGGTAGGCTCGGTCTCGGTCTCTGAGTCAGAGTCATCATATGCCACCAGCGAGGCCATTCAGACACACAAAGGGCTTCCTATAACTAAACAAGGTCAAGAGTCAGCAACTGTGAACGGGAAAATTGTTCTGTACTTGAAATCTAAGACTTCAGACCCTGAGAACATAAATACATAAAGAATAAAGCTACATTTTCTTTTTTTTTTAATTATTTTTATTTTATTGGTGTTTTGCCTATTTGTATGTCTGTGTGAGGGTGTTGGATCCTGGAGGTACAAACAGTTGTGAGCCACCATATAGGTGCTGGGAATTGAACCTGGGTCCTCTGGAAGAGCAGTCAGTGCTCTTAACCATAAGCCATCTCTCCAGCCCCAAGGCTGCGTTTTCATTTCAAATGATGTTTGGGGTGGCAGAGATGACTCAGTGGTTAACAGCATATACTACTCTTCCAGAGGATCCAAATTCAGTTCCACATGTAGACCAAGTTCCAAAGGATCCAGCATCCTGCCCTGACCTCCACGACTACCCACACACCAACATATATGCACACACACAAGTAAAAATAGAAAACATACTTTTATGAAGGAAAATTTAAAAATAAACGACGTTTGGACCAGCAAGATCACTCAAGTGGGTTAAATGTGCTTGCTGCCACGCCTAAAAACCTGAGTTTGATCCCTGGAACCTGCATGATGGAAAGAGAAAATCAACTCGTGAAAGTTGTCCTCTGACCTCCACATATGTGCCTTGCTGTGCATGCCATCATCCAAATATATAAACAAACAAATGCTAAAAAAAGAGGAAGGAGGGAGGGAGGATATGTTTTAGGGAGATGGCATGGAGAAATGGTATGGGTACCCTAATTTAAACATTACATAATATATGAAAACCTAAGTAATTTTTAAAAGTAAATGGATTTTCTATTTATCAGACATACTTAGAACATATACTTGTTAAAATGAAAGCCTATGTGGGGCTGGGGACGAAGCTTGCTGACAGAACACTTGCTCAGACACTCAAGGTTTGCCCCTCAGCACTGCAAAGCAGAAGAGGAGAAAGGAGAAAAAAGAAGAGGAGAAAAAAGAAAGGGAGGAAAAAGACAACAAAAATGAGCTAGGTGGCACCCACCTGTGAGCCCCGCACTCATGAAGCTGAGGCAGGAGGATTGTGATTTCAGGCTACCCTGGGTTAACATAGCAAGACCCTGTCTTTAAAAACAATCAAAAGAAAAAAAGAGAGAAAACAAACTTCTGGAGAGGTAGTGCAATAGTAGAGCACCCACCCGGCATGCCACAGCCCAGGGCCAGATCCTAAGGTACTAGTCTACCTACCCAAGGGTGGCAAGAGCAATTCTGATCGTGGCATCCAAATTTGTGTCTCACCCCAAATGCACAGATTCATATGGTAATGGATTTCCTTTTGTAAAATTCTTCCTGGAATTCTGAGCCATCACAAATTATTATCAGCTAGTTTTCAGTAAGAGGTGTTTTGCTTTAGAATTCAGTATTTTGGTATCATGAAGAGAGGAGCAAGTACAGGCAGGAAGAAAATAAGGGTGCTAAACCTATCTGCCAGCAGAGGGCATGGTGTGACAGGGTGCAAGCCTCAGCCATGGACCAACTTCCCAAATCAAAGAAAACCCACCTAGCCTCACATTTTCAGTTTTCTATTTATTCATGTATGTGTTTGTGCGAGTGTATGTATACCTGTGGGAACGTGCAAACCTGTGCTCCTACACACTGCATCTTCCTTTATTGCTTTCCATCTATTCCTTTGAGGCATGGTACTCCTGTCTCTAACCTCTTAGAGGTTAGGTTACAAGCAAGTGTGTAATGCTCATGGGTTCTGAGATCCTAACTTTGGTCCTCGTGATTTCAAAGCAAGTGCTCTTAACAGCCGAGCCTCTCCAGCCCCATACTCTTAACACAAGATCTCACTATATAAGCCAGGTTGGTCTTAGTCTCACAATCCTCCTGCCTCAGCCTTCTGAGTGCTGGAGTAACAGGCATACATCACAATGCCAGGCATACACTCGGTTTCAACATCCCATCCAAACCCCCGACTCCTGTCCCTCTCTCTAATGGCACTGTTCATCTAAGAACTCCACTGCCAGACAAGTCTGTTCATCATTCAACGCCTGTAGTTATTGTTCCCACCAGCAGCTGAATCCAGACAAGTACCAATGTCCACATTTAAAGTCGTCTTCTAGGGCCAGGCGTTGGTGGTGCGTGCCTTTAATCCCAGCACTCGGGAGGCAGAGGCAGGCAGATCTCTGTGAGTTCGAGACCATCCTGGTCTACAAGAGCTAGTTCCAGGACAGCCTCTAAAAGCCACAGAGAAACCCTGTCTCGAAAAACAAAAAAATAAAAAATAAAAAAAAGTCGTCTTCTAAACAGGACTTCTAAAACCAGACAGCCACTCTCCAACTGAACCAAGAGCACACTGGGTACTAATTACACACAGATGGAACCATGCTTTTCAAATCATTTAATCTCTACATATTCAGCCAAGATCTGAGGCCAAGCTCCTGATCCCTACCTGTCAAATGGAACCCACCACCAGAGCATATAGACCTCAGTCACAGACCTGGATTTCGAGCCACACAGTTACCTGCAGGATCATCCTCTGCCTCCCGAGTGCTGGGATTAAAACATGTGCTGTCACGCATGCCCAGCTAGTTTTGGTTTTCTGATAAATGTCTGAGTGATTTCTTCCAGGCTGGGTTTGGACTCCTGATGCACTCCACCACGTGTAGACCTCATTCACTCATTCAACAGCTGCAATGTAGGAAAACAGTTAATGACCTTCACTTGGCATGCTCACAAGCCATGGGGAGAGAGACAGAGGCATCCCCCACTCCACAAGTGGGCCAGAGGAGCCAAGGCATGTGAACTCAAAGGGAGAAAAGGAAGAGAAGAGTAGAGCAGCCGGGCCCAGGACTGCTTATGGAGCTGAGACAGGCCTCAGAGAAGAGTACACCTGTGTAACACTCTGGAGAGGCTGTGGGAACCAAGGAGGTCACAGTGCTAAGTCTAAACGGCAGAACCAATGACGATCTAGAGGAGTCAAGAGTGATCCAAGAAAACACGCCTAAAGCTGAAAGGAATGCACAGTTTAGGAGGTGATGTTTGCCATGTTGTACCCAAGTCCGAAAGATGTCATGGGAAAAGGGGGTGTGGTGAAACCAAGAGGAAGAGGGTAAATGGGGGGTGGGGGAGGTAATGAGGACGGATAGCAAAATGTAAACAGCTAAACGGGGCACAGATACGTGGGCAGGGTGTGTGTTTTGCTCACTATCCAAGAACCCTCGATCTAGAAGCATTTGTAGACTGAAATCTAGTGGGGCAGGGTGCTGAGGAAGTCAAGAGAGGCGGGATATTCCCGTCCAACAAACAGTTCCTTGTTACCTACTCTGTGTTTAACTCTATGCTGGATCTGATGTGGGCAGAAATTAAAACTCGGATCTTGCCCCGGAGGCCACAGATCCATGAGGGGAAACAAAAGGATGCCCCGAGCCACGGGTTTTGAAGGATGAGGAGAACTTAGCCAAGCTGTCGACGATAATGGGTGGAGTTCAGAGCACTCGAGGAAGAAAAGGAAGACGAGCGGCGCTCTGAACCCGACGCTAAGAGGCTGGAAGCGCGCGGCCACCAGGTCCCGGCCCCACCCCGCCCGGCCCCGCCGCTCACCACACACACGGAAGCGCTTGGTCCACTCCTACAGAGGTCCGGCCTGCACCCGGGCCGCCCAGTCGCGTTCCACCACGACGCCGGGGACCTCAGCCAATCAGAGGCGGGACATGCCCCGCCCCTGGATGGACAGCCAATGCGGCATGCCAGGACCGGAAGTTGCTCCGGCCGGATGGGGTTTCCACGGACGCCCCGGAGGTACCGGTGAGTGAAGCAGCGGTACTGGCCGGTGGGTCCGTACAGGGGTCGGTAAGTGAGAAGAGGGCCGCCGCCGCTCCGGGAGCAAAGGAGGGACGCCGCGGTAGCGCCGGAGCCCCTGAGCCCTGAGAGCCCAGCTCCGAAGCGAGCTCGCTGTTCTCCGGGCACCGGCACCGCGAGGGGCGGGGAGGCTGCGGCGGCGCCGCCCACCCACGCTGTCATGGTTTCCCACGGCCTGGGGCTGTGCCCTGTAGGGTCTGCAGCAGTCCCCCCCTCCACGAGTGTTAGGCGGGTTCCTGCTGCGTATTTCACCCACGGGGAACCCGAGCGAGAAACAGAGAAGTAACGCCACCTGCCCCTGGTCTCCAGGCGAGCTCATGCTCTCCCTGACCTATCGGAGTTCCCATCTTTCCGCAGCAGTGCACCGCCTGCGAGCAGGACTGCCTCAGGGGAGGGTACAGGCTGACCTGCCCTCCCCAGCCGTCTCTTCACCACACAGTGATGCTGTGGGCGCGTGGGGAGGTCACATGGCGGTCACCCTCAAGAAGGGACAGCTGATGCAACGGCATGTAGCTCAGGGCTGTTGAGAGTTTGATTGGTCTCAGCCTCCTCCTCCCCCAGCCCAGCCTGCCTGCTGCTGGAGGGACTGGGTCATTAAGGAAGCTGGCCAAGTGGCTAAAATGTTCTGAGAACCTGGGTGATTTCTCAGAAACCCCTCAGTAAGTGAAACTGAAAGGGTAGGGCAAGGCAGGAAAGAAAGACAATGGGCCCTTCTAAAAACAGAAACTGAAAGAAAAGAAATGGAGAGTATTTAAAGACCTCCACCCTGCCTGGGCATTCTCATATGCTCAACTGTCCCTTGTGACCAGGGGCGGCCGACTCCACAGCCAGGGTATGTATTGCCATCTTAGCCAGGCTTGGAACTTTAGTGGGGTTTGGTTTGGTTTTTGGTTTTTGTACCTGCCTTATATGAAAGTGCTGAAGACTTTTGAGCAGGACCAGTCTCAGGATTGGGATGGTGTACGTTTATTTTCATCTAGTAGACCCAAGTTCAGGTGGTGCCCTGTTTGTGAGGAGTAGGTGCAGTGGGTACCCAGTGGCCTGTTTGCCTTCCAAGCTTGCCCTTCAGCAACCTCAAAGCTTCCGGCTGATTTGGCCTCCTTGTGTGTTCACTGTCTGACTACATGGGCATTCTTATCTTGGCAACCAAGTCTCTAATGTCTGTCTCTATAAGTTAACGTCTTTCTCTTTTTAGGTAGTGTTCCTGGGGCTGGCTTTGTAGTTTGGTTGTTAGGAGATGCTTGCTTGGCATGTTCCCGCTCTGGGTTCTATCCCCAGTGCCTTTGTATGGAAAAATAACTAGACCATAGTCTATCCCCAAGTTTAGGAGTGTAAAGAACTGCTTGCTGTAATGAGGTTTTGTCTTCTGAGATCTTGTCAGTCTGAAACTATCATTACCTGCTCTTTGAGGCCATAGTCCCAAAGTATCTAGAAACTTTCCTAGGCGACCCCTTTTTCCCTTGCTGCCCTCTTCCCTCAGGCTGCAGATTCTGTGGAGCCTCCCACCCATATGGGTTATGTGATGGTCCAAGTTCTTCTCATTCCTTCTGCTCACACTGCACTGTGCCCACTTTCTTTAAGAGCCCACATCGTTCATCAGAACAATGGCGTCTTTCCAAATGACCCACAGATTTAGTTCCTAAAAGAGGGAAATAGGCCTGTTGTGATTGCCCTATGTTGGGCAGTTTGACTTTTTACAATCCAGGTACTTTTGTTACAGGGGATAATAGATTACTGCCTGCTAATCTACCACCTTTCTTCCATGTTGTGTTAGTTGTTAGGTAAAAGAGCATCTCCTTAACAATTCACAGCTTCTCATCTGGTGGTGATACAGTAAGTACTCCAAACAGTAACACTAGCCTTTTGGCATCTCTGAACTCCTTAAAGACGCTGAACCTAGACACTGCTTAAACCTGCATTCATCTGATAAATGTGCACATTGCTGTACTTTAAGAAGTTCAAAAACTCCAAGCTAAAAGTTAAGCTTAGTTCTAAAAGTTAACAAACAGGAAAAAAAAAAAAAAAAAAAAAAAAAAAAAAAAAAAAAAAAAAAAAAAAGGAGGAGGGGAGAGGAGCCCTTCACATAATACACAGGTAAGTATGTAACAACATAAAATAAGGAAGACAGCGGCTGTTTTCCCTGTCTTCATCATTCCTACATCATTCACTCGGGAAATTGCCGTGGTCTCCCTTGCTCTCTCCCTCATGCACCTACACACAAGGTTTGAATAGTGGCCAAGCATAAGTGAATGCCTTGTGATCTCACCCATCAGATTTAGAATTCTAATAATTAAAGAGACAGGTGTTCCTCTACAACATGGAGCCTGAATGCAGGTCCAGTTCCCCTAGCTGACTGCACCAGCTACCAGCCCTGTTGCGGTGGGAAGAGACTAGCTGTCCCAGGCTCATTCACCCATTCTCCTTGGCATGTTTTCTAGGAGTTGAATGTAATTGTGACCACCACTGACTGTAGTCTTTGCAGAACTCCACGTCTGTGGAGGAGATCCTGGGGTGGTCTGCCAGGCTTTCCCCAGAGCTCAGAGGATATGGCTCAGTGCCAGAGCATTAAACTGGAGGTAGCATTAGGTGGGACAGGGGCCATGGGAATCACCTCACTTGATTCCTAAGGGAAGTTTGGTGAAAGACTGATTTGAATAGCAAGTTCTGGTGGCCCCTCAGCCATCAACTAAAACGAACACTGTGTTTTCTGTTTGCTGGCTCTGGAGGGGTTTTGTGTGGCGGGGGTTGCAACAGGGTCTAGCCCAAGCTAGCCGAAAATTTACCTCAGTCCCCCACAGCTAGAAGTGATGTGTACACCACCATGCCTTAGGTAAGGCCCACACTTAAAGACAGTGTAAGAGAGACGCCTAGAGGAAAGGGTTGGACTTACTGAGAAACACCTGGTGGTAAAGCTGGTGCACAACCTCACTGTCCTGGAGATTCAGCTAACTTAACAGCAGAGGAAGTGCTGTAACAGGTAGAAGGAGAATATTCCAGGGTCACAGGGTGAGGAGGGCCCCAGGGCTTAGAGGGGGGATGGGACATCCTGGACAGGAGGAGCAGCAGGGACTCAGAGCCCATGACTGAGATGGGCTCTGGTCAGAGCCTGACTTAGTATCTGGATCTGAACCTCAGGCAGATTCCTGTGGTTTCCCTGAGCAAACAGGATGCAGTTACAGCTTGCTCTTCTGAGACAGTGGGACATTCCAAACTGGATATCACTTGACCCTTTTTATTGTATTCATTATTATCTGACCCAAGTAAATATACCCCGAGAAAAGCAGGGGCTGGACTGGGTGCTTCTCCTTCCTCCCTGGCTTCCACAATCTTCCCTGGGCCACCAGACTTGCTATTCAAATCAGTCACCAAACTTCCCTCATTAAAGTAAACAACTTAATAGTTTCGGGAAATTCCTGAAACTAACCAGATTTCCTAGGTTCCTCCCCTCCCCCAAGCATTCACTTGAGGACTGCTGAGAGACTGAGAAAGGAGCTCTGCTTCCTGAAAGAGTCTCAGACCACCTGGGCTACCTGCTGGCTGTGCAGTGCAGTGCAGTGCAGTGCAGTGCGCTCCAGGTGACTAGTTTTCACGCTGCACTGGGTAGGTCTTTGTGATATGGCTGCCATTGAGTCTCCACCCAGGGAAACTCACTGCTTCACCACTTTGAACTTTGATGGTATCAAGTGACTTGGTGCATAGAGCAACTTAAACCAAGGTGTCAGGTCAGGGTGCTTGAAGTTCGTTACTGGTCTGGCACAACCTGTGGCTCCTCTAAGGTTAAGGTAAGTCAGATGAAGCTGAGTTGAGTGGATCTCCAGAGCCCTCACTCCCAAACCCAGAAATAACAAGACTGGAGGTTCAGTTGCATCTTGCTTACAGTTTTCAATGTGTTCCTGCATTGTTTTTTTGTTTTGTTTTGTTTTTCTCTTTAATTTCTATAACAGCCCTTGGGGTAAATTAAAAGTTCATAGAGTTTACATTTTATAGATAAGAAGGTGACTGACCCAACAGGGACTCCAGCTGGCCCAGCCTCCACCCTTCCCAGTGTCAATAGAAATAATGACTAATAGCAAGATGCTGCAGGCACACCTTCCCAGCCTTAAGTAAAGGCAGCATGCAGGGTGGCGAGGCTCATGATCCTTACTGGTCTAGAACTCAGGGCAGAGAAGGCCTTATCCTCCACCCGGACCTTGCTGTGAGATGACAGCTCTGGGTCAGCTGGAGGCCATTGTGGAGCAATACTGTGTTCTTTATGTCTACAACGGCCTGAGAGTTTGTTCTCAAGGCAGTAAAGATAAAGAACAAACTACTTTGCTAAGTGTCTTTCTCTATAGTGAACGTGGCCTTCCTAAAGCCCATTGGTATTTGGAGCAAACATGGGTTCCTCTCCTGAGCACAAGATGGGAACAGACATCACTGTGTGCCACTTGCTGTTTACCTAGGGGGCCCTCCTTTGCTGGCCTCAAGTTGGTACTTCCCAGTAATGCATGCCATTCTCATTGTCAGCATGGATGCTTCTTTTCATGACCCCAGGTTTCTCCTTGTCTCTTTCCCAGTCTCTGTTACAGTTCAGCAGTCACCACATTTTTCTGGAAGAAAGTGCTGGGAAGGAAACACAGCTGTAGTAATTTGCTCATGGCTCCCCACCCTCAATTCCATTTCATTTTTTCTTCTACAGCGTCTTGTCTCAACTGCTGAACACATCTGCTCACTAGCCAGAGGAAGGCCTAGGTCCCAGAAGATGGCGGACATGTCCAGTGGCGAGTCCTGCACCTCCCCACTGGAGCTGTTCAACAGCATAGCTGCTCAAGGGGAGCTCGTGAGGTCCCTCAAGGCTGGAAATGCACCAAAAGTAGGTGATTTGTTGGACTCTCCGGTACATGCCTCTGCGCCTCCACACCTGCACCGTTGTCTGTTTTTAAAGTCTGTTAGATTCAGTGCCATTGTTATACCTGTGTATTGTAGGGAATTGTTCCCCAGATCCTAAAGACCCATGATGCCCAAGCCCCTCACATACGGCAGCATGGGATCCACATAGAACCTGCCCTATACTTAAGCCATCTTAGCATTGTATGTGAGTGTGTAAGTAGTTGTGATACTCTATGTATTTTTTCTTTCTTTTCTTTTGCCATACTGTATTCTTTTGGTTTTTTTGAGACAGTGTTTCTCTGTGTTGCCCTGGCTGTCCTGGAACTCAATCTGTACACCTGGCTGGCCTCAAATTTACAAGATCTGCCTGCCTCTGCCTTCTGAGTGCTGGGATTAACAGGCATTCTCCACTACACCCAGCTGCTATACTGTATTGTTAGAGGATATATTAGTTACTTTTTTGTCTGTTACTATATCAAAATGTGGAACAAAAGCAATTTAAGGAGGAGAGCCTGTTTTGGTTACAGGTTGAGGTTTTAGTCCATCATGGCAGGGAAGTCATAGAGGCAGGCATGTGAGACAGCCGGACACTGGCGCACTGTCAGGAAATGGAGATGAATTTGTGTGCTCAGCTCTTCTCTTTCTCCATCGAATGATGCCACCTGTATTTACCGTGTATTTTCCTACCTATCTAGAAAATGTGCCCAGAGGTATATTTTCTGGCCACTTCTAGATGCCATCAAGTTGACAGTGAATAAGTGACAAAATGAACATCTGTCTGTACACTCTCAGGACAGGAGAGAGAGAGAGAGAGAGAGAGAGAGAGAGAGAGAGAGAGAGAGAGATGTGTGTGTGTGTGTGTGTGTGTGTGTGTGTGTGTCCAGTGGTTTCTGTCCTGTGTTAGTTGAACTGAAGGATTCAGAACCCACAGATACAGACATCCCACCAGCCCCAGTACCCTCCAGCCTGTTCTCCACAGTTCTGCTCGTACACAGATGTTTTCAGTTCTTGTACAGGTTTGTACCTCTGCATGTCTAAGCTGCATGCCTACTGTTTCCTTCCTTTGTTAATTTCAAGTCTAGGGCTTTGGCTGTGGCCACGAGGGATCCCTGCTTTCACACACACTTCCCACCCTCCAGTCTCCCGGGATGTATTGCACCTGTAGTTAGATCACTGTGACTGCAGGCATTACTGCACTGTGTAAACACATGGACAGCTGAGTACTTCTCCTTTCCTTCCTACCATCTGTTTTCTCTGGAGTTAATGTTTGCCTTCATTTCTGTTTGCCTGGCCTTTTCTGTGCTATTCATAATGCAGTTGGGCACCACATAGCACCACCCAGTCAGAGTCACAGGGCTCCAATAGGTTGTGAACACAGTCAACATTCTGTTTGTGGTGAAGTTAATCTTACAGAGTTGTTGCTTTTGTTTCCTGTTTGGGGGCATTGTTTGTTATCTGGACAGTGGGACTGGCACATGCTAAGGTAGCTGCTTTTCTTGTCACTGTAGCCAAATAGCTGACCCACAACATCAACTTCAAAAAGGAAGAGCCGATTTTATCTCACTGTCTGAGGGTCCAGCCCCTCCCTCATGGGGAAGACGCTGCAGCAGTCATGAGATACTGCAGTCAGGAAGCAGAGAGAGGTGAACGCTGGCGCTCTGCTGCCTTTATCCTTCTTCTGTCTGAGACCCCAGCCAGTGGGACAGCACCCACACTCTAGGAGGGTTTTCTGTCATCCATTAAACCACTGTGGAAACATCTTCACAAACACGCCCAGCGGTGCCATCTGGGTGATTGATTCCAAATCCAGTCAAGGTAATGATGGGGATTAGCCATCACACCCTCAAGGCCAGGCACCCGGGCCTGGTTTTTGCATTTAGTACATTCTTTATCCTTCAGCTTGTATGCCTACTCACTAAATAACAGCAAGATTTGTGCCATGTTGTCTTGGCAGAGACTCCCTATGCCCCGTATTGACCGGTCTCTTGATTGCATCAAAGGGTCACATCAGTTAGTGGGCTGTACTGTCTTGGTTAGAGCCCTGATGGTGCCGTATTTAATGACACATTCCTCAGACTATCCTCACCATTAAGCAATATAGGGATGTCACGGCTCTGGTTTACTACTTTGTCAAGGAATTTCTTGGGCACCTTACAAGACCTCTGCCAATTTCCCTTTGGATTGGTGGGTCTTCATTCACCTGTTGTCATCTTCCTTCTCTGATTTAATCTTTTTGGGTAGAATTTTTGGTTGTGAGCCTAGCCTTTAACAGCTGAGCCATCTCTCCAGCCCCTTTTTGGGTAGAATTAAGTCTCCTAATTGTGAAAAGTCCTGCAAAGGAGACAACCTTGAGCTGTGCATGCCTGAAAGGATATTTACCTTCCCTAAGGTTTGATTGATAACTAAGCTGGGTATGGAGTTCTTAAATGGAAGCAATTTTTGCTTAGAATTCTGTTATTTGTTTCATTTTGTCTGACACACTGTCTGGTGTAGCCCAGCGTGGCCTCAGGGTGCTATAGGCAAGGATAACTGTGAACTTCTGATCTTCCTGCTTCTGCCTCCTGTTTGCTGACATTAGAGTGATGGGAAGCCGCACCCAGCTTCCCTTGGAATACTGTCACTGTGCCTCGGTCACCATTGTTTGTTGGTACCTTTTGTCTGTTCTCTCAAGGGGCATCAGGACCCTTCTTGTTCCAGTCCTCTGACATTCCTGGGCAAGGACCAATGCTCTTTGCAAACTTTAATTTTCAGAAGCCATGTTGTTTCTTTGATCTCCTCGGTGCACTGTCTTTTCTGTTTGAAAGTCAGAAAACTCTCATCTGGTTTTCTTATTTTTTTTGCCTGCTACTTTCCATTTCTTTTTGCTCTTTTAGGGCTATTTCCTCACCTCAGCCTCAAACTGTCTTCCATTTCTCCTGTTGTGTTAAACTCCCCAGCTCTCCTGTAGGCATGCTCCCTAGTTCACTGAGCTCCTGGTGGTAGTTTTCCTGGTGCTCTCTGCTCCCAGTGTCTGTGAGTTTCTTCCCCTCCCTTTCATATCACAGGCATCTCAGATGTGTGCTATCTCTTGCCGATCCACTCAAGGCCTTGAGGACAACTGTCTGCTGTCAGTCAGCCACAGATGTGAGGAGACATCTGTGCATGGCCCCTTTCCTGGGTAGCGTTGTGCTTGTTTTGGTTAGGGAATCTTTGGGTTCAGAGTCTTGTCCTAACTCTTTCCTTAGAAGCCAGGTTCTCTCTGATCTGCTGTCAAGGGAGTGTGAGTGGCTGCCACATCCTCCACTAAGTGGGACACTAGTCTCTGTGGTTGTCTCAGGCTGTCCCTAGTGCTTCCCTGATCACAACTGTGCACAGCAGTCTCTGATCTGCATGTCATTGTCTTCTTCCCGTGGAAACCTCTGGATAGAGTAGAACCCCAGGCAGGAGCTGAACACGTGCTTCCTGAACAGTCCTGAGCCCAGTGCCCACTCCTTCACAGTGCCTGGCTCTCTCTAGTAGTCCACAGTGTGAAGTGGAGTTGCTACCCACCTACCAGAAGTTCTTAGCATTTGTTTTTATCATGTGCTCAGTCTGTTATTTGTCCCTGAATATTGTACCTTCTGGGTCTTGTTGCTGTCACCCTCCTGTTTTCCTTGTCCCCTGGGATTGTGCCTTTTTTAAGGATCTTGATGATATAGTAGGTTTCAAGAGCGTAGTCAGTCTGCATTTTTATTAGCAGCAAAGGCACTTCATGATCTCATGGTGCCTCCATACTTAGGTCTCCATGGCTCCTCCTCCTCTCCTGCTCTCTTTCCACTCAGCCGTCTTCGTTTTTTTGGAGGTGTAAGTGAATTTTTATTGGGAAGGAAGTTGTCAACTCAAACAGCAGCAAATGAAAAATGCATAAAGGAAATTCCCTGTTGTCAGACAGACGTAACCTCCAGAATATGTGACATAGGAGACATTTTGGTCTGTGACCCCAAGACTGAATGCATTAAGAGCAGCTGTCTCCTTTTCAAACCCTGTGCTGATGTTAGCAGACGGTGCCGTCCACTGCACATTCAGCCCAGTAGCTTTGTAGGTTATTGATTGAGTAAACCATTACAGTTTTTTTTAAAAAAAAGATGATATAGAAAGAAATGATTTCCCAAAACCTGATTATCCAGAAAGATATTTACTCACCAGGAAGGCTCAATGAATTGGGCTAAATGGTCTTAAGGCAAAAGCCTAAAATAAATAAATAAATAAATAAAACAACTATTGATCATTTCTTCTGTAAACCTACTTTGGAAGGTTAGCAGTGGTATATTTGTCGTAGTCTTAAATGCGAATAACACATTTAGTAATGTTTTTAATTAGTACTGATTTTTTTTTTTCCACCCTCATTCTGAGACAAAGTCTCATTGTGTAGCGTTGGCCTTTCTGGAACTCAGAGATTCACCTGCCTCTGTCTCCTGAATGTAGCCCCACTAGAACACTGGCTTTGAAGTTGAGTCTGTGTTCTGGCCCACACTACACAGAAGTAGGAAGCCAGGCAAGTCTGTTCATCACTTTTTTTCCAGGCTGCAGAAGTTTCCTGACTGGGGACAGGGTTAAGTGTCCCCTCTTTCCAGAGCCTTCTAGTAGCAAGCAGAATTGGACCAGACAGAGTATGAACTGTCAACAGTCGGTGATTAAAAGATACCAACTGCTGTGTACTTCAGATCAAGGGAGGGCTACCCTCAAATAACTCTGCAGATTAAACTTGTTAAACATTGCTTTTATTTCCAGAGCTGAGCCAAGGCCTGCAGAGACAGCAGGCAGCTACCCAGTGAAGGCATCTCTCTCTTTTGTGAGCTTTAGACATGGGGTTATTGATGGCATGAGGCAAACTTGTTTTGATAGCAAATTCCAGATAATTTTATTGTTTGAAGCACTGATCACTGCAGAACCCTAGCCCTCTTTGGCCAGGGTACTATACCTAGTGATCAGTTCTCTAGATGAGTTTGGGGTCATGGTAGTTCTTTCCCAGGAAGCCCAGTTTATAGTACATGCTGTATAAACTCTTAAGTGAAAAATATTTGTCTTGCCCTAGGCAAACAAATTAGACTGTGTAGTCTTTGTGCTCTAATCCAGCTATGCTAATTACCAGTCTAGAGCATTAGGGTATGGCATGACTTGATCGCCTTAATTAGTTAGGCTTGCTCTTTTAAGTTTCTGGGGTGGCCATTGTGAGCCCCTAGAAGAAAGGGGTCTTCAATAAGTTGCCAGAGTGAGCAAGGATACAGCTTACGTTTGCTGCTGCTGCTGCTGCTACTACTGTTCCCTTATTATTTTTTTTTTTTAAATAAAGTCTTCTGTGCCCACACTGGCCTCAAACTTTCTATATAGCCAGGAATGGCCTAGATCTCCTGATCCTTATGCCTTCACCTACCAAGTGCTGGAATTGCAGACATAATGGGTATTTAGACACTAGAAATAGCTTGGTAACTGGCTAGAAAGATGGTTCAGCAGTTAAGAGCAGTTGCTGCTCTTGTAAAGGAACTAACTGGGTTTGGTTCACGGCAACCCACAAAACTCCAATGGTAGGAGACCCAGTGCCTTCATCTGGCCTCCACAGGCACATATGGTATGCACACATACATAGAGGCAAATAATCATACACATCAAATAAAAAAATCTTGAAATAGCTTCATGATGGCATCACCTAGTGGTGTACCCGTTTCTGAGTGTCCCTGGGGCCACATCTTTCCCTTGCCTTTGTCTGCCTTCATGGCACGTCTTTGAGTTGCCATCACAACTCCTTCGGCATCTTGATTGTGTCTGTAATTTCATCCTAACCTATGCAGGATGCAGCACTGTGAGCTCCACTAAAGGGGCTGTGGCACAGGTCCCCTTGCCATCAGTCTTGTTTAAGGGGCCTTCGCATGTTAACCTGTGTCGCTGCTGCTAGCCCGTGTGACATACACCTGCACCTGGCTTTTTGTCTGTTCAGGACAGATCCTGGATCTCAACCCCACCCACCCGCAGGCACAAGACAGCTTCAGTGACGCCCACTTGTCCAACCATACAAGGTGACAGGTGTGAAAGCTCTCAGCAGTGTGCCTGACACCTAACGGGTAGTCTTCAGGTGTTAGCTTTGTCGGCATTTTGAACACTCACCTTTTCCCCTTTATTAGGATGAAGTTGATTCTGCAGTGAAGATGTTGCTGTCATTAAAAACGAGCTATAAAGCTGCCATGGGGGAGGAGTACAAGGCCGACTGCCCTCCAGGAAACCCAGCAGCTGGGAGCAATAGTGATCCAGATGCCACAAAGGCCAACGAGGATTTTGTGGACCCTTGGACAGTGCGGACAAGCAGTGCGAAAGGCATCGACTATGACAAGCTCATTGGTGAGGCCACACCTTCTCCCTCGCAGCGTCCACGGTGTCTGGTAGGGACCACCGTGTCAGTCCCATCGGTGCTGCTAAATATGTGTGCTTATCTGTACAAGCACTTTGGTACATTTTAATTTGTCAGTGCATGCGTACCCTGGGCAGTGACAAAATCGGGATATCTAACGTGTTTATCGCCCCCAACGTTTTTGTTTCCTTGTGGCGGGAGTGTTCACAGTCCTCTCTGGTAGCTGCCATGAAATACACAATACGTTATTGTTGATGGCATCGCCCTGTTGGCTGCCTACCAGAACCTACTCCTCTGATCTCACTGAGACCAGCCTCTCTCCATTCTCTTTCCCTGTCTTGCACCCTACCTGACATCTCACCTAGGATGGGATCCTGTGGTATTTGATCTTCTGTGCATTGCTGATCTGGCTTGTCCTTGGGCTCATCTATTGTTGTAGATAACAGGGTTCCATTTCTTTTTGTTTCTTTCTTTCTTTTTTTTTTTTAGACAGGCTTTATACCGTGGAGCCCAGGCTGGCCTCAACTTGAGATTCTTCTGCCTCAGCTTTCTTCTTTTTCTTTTCTTTTCTTTCTTTCTTTCTTCTTTTTTTTTTAAAGATATTTATTTATTTATTTATTTATTTATTTATTTATTTATTATGTATACAGTTATCTGCATGCATGCTTGCACACCAGAAGAAGGCACCAGATCTCATTATAGATGGTTGTGAGCCACCTTATGGTTTCTGGGAATTGAACTCGGGTCCTCCGGAGGAGCAGCCAGTGCTCTTAACCTCTGAGCCATCTCTCCAGCCCCGGGATTCCATTTCTTTCCATAGCTGTGTTGTACAGTGTGTGTGTATGTGTGATGTTACACTTTCTTTGTCCATTCAGAAACACAAAGGGAGATTCCATCTTCTTGTGAAATCCAGAATATGCTTTAAACATACTGATTTCAATATCTTTGGACATATGTGATATTTTTAAAACTTTGAACTATTCCCAAGTAAAAAGCTTTAATATTGAGAAACAAGTAGATCCAAAAACCCTTTGGTTGTATGTTATAGTCACAAAGGATTATATTAAAATTAGATAACAATAAACCAGGCATGGTGGCTCATACTTGTCACCCTGCAATTAGGAGTGGAGGCCAAAGGATCCGAAGTTTGAAGTTACCCTCAGCCACATAATAAGATCAGTCACAGCCTGGGACACATAGATTGTGCAGCCTGGGACACATAGATTGTGCCCCAAGAGCCCAGAGTTCTACATTACAGGAAATGACATATTTCAAAATTATGACCTGAAGCAAGCAGCCTGGTAGGTTTTCCTGGTTTGGGGTAGTTCGGAACTTTGAGCCATCATGTGGTTGCTGGGAATTGAACTCAGGACCTCTGGAAGACCAGCTAGTGTTCTTAACCGCTGAGCCATCTCTCCAGCCCCTAGAAAGCTCTAGTGTGGTGGGCATGTTTGCTAGGGATGTCTCACCATTCCACTCTTCCTCCGAGGCACTTCTGTCCACTTATGTCATTGATAATTGTCAAGGAAGGAACAACTGAAATGTCTGTGTCTGCATCAAAGCTACTTCCATAACCTAAAGCATAGACTGTTGCTGGGGGAAAGTGTCCTCAGGACCAACATGAATGTAGGCCAGCAGTTTGGGAAATGTGGGAAATGTGGTTGTCACCAGTGAGTGTACGCTACACCTCAAGATGCGTGTGTGATCAGAACTGCATTAGGCTCAGGCAGACAGCACTGTGGTGTGTGGTGTTTCCCTGTTTTGATGATTGGGGTCTCAGCTGTTTGGATACAAAGGTCCTTTCGCTTTGTGTGAGGGGATGGATCACAGCCCAGAGCCTCAAGAGATTTGGGTCACTGGAACAGGTCACTAAGTCTTCTGGCGTCTAAGAAAATCATCTCTGTTTCCTGGTGTTTTTTGCAGTTCAGTTTGGAAGCAGCAAAATTGACAAAGAGCTGATAAACCGAATAGAGAAAGCTACTGGCCAGAGACCACACCGCTTCCTGCGCAGAGGCATCTTCTTCTCCCACAGGTCAGGGCCCTTTCTCTGCTCTGGGTTCATAGAATTGGGAGGTGCTGGGGAAGCCTGGTACCCTGGGCAAGTGGGGCAGCTATAGTATCTCACTGTGGAATCACCCTGTCCCTTCTCCTGCAAGCCCTTGTTCCTTTATAAACTGGCCACCTCACAAAGTGGAGGTCAGTTCCGGGCATTGGTGGCGCACGTCTTTAATCCCAGCACTCAGGAGGCAGAGGCAGGCGGATCTGTGTGAATTTTAGGCCAGCCTGGTCTACAGAGCGAATGCCAGGATAGGCTCCAAAGCTACACAGAGAACCCCTGTCTAGAAAAACAAAACAATTAAGGTGGAGGTCAGTTCTTTGCAGGTGAAGTTCAGTCATATTGCATGCTTTACATCATTAAAAGGCATGAAAGTGAAAGAGAGTATCAGGTCCAAGTTCAGTACTTCCCACACCTAAGCTGTAGGCTTCCTCCCACTCATGAATGACATCAAGAGAGTTTACAGCAGAACCCGTGGGACAGAGTATCCCTGCCTTGGGCCATAAATTCCATGCAGATAACAAAAAATGGGCAAGTTCCAGAGGACTTCTTGCCTCTCCAACTCCACAGATTGCTTTTCCCCTTCACGGAACTGACAACCTGAGGTCAGGGTGTTCTGTTCTGCTTGTACTTCAAGGAGCACCTAGGAAAGGACATTTCTGCCCAGGCATTTCACATTGTGTCTACAGCAAGCTCTGGGCCCTGCTCAGCCCACATGCTGGACAAAATATAATCAGTATTTTTCTTAATTGAAACTGAATTCTGGGTCACTGATATGTGTCAGTGAGTAGAAGTGCCCACTGCCAAGCCCAACAACCTGAGTTCCATTCCAGGAGAGAACAGACTCCTATGTCACTCACGTACACTCCATGGCATGAGTATACACACAGAAAGACACACAATAAATCAATAAAATATCATTTTAAAAGTTGAGACCAGGTGTGGAGGCACACACCCTTAATCCTAGCACTAGAGGGGCAGAGGTAGGGGTTTTCTGTGAGTTTAAGGTCAGACTGTTCTGTGTAGAGTTTTAGGACAGCTGGGGCTACATAGAAAAACCCGGTGGGTGGGTGGGGAGGGCAGGACTTGTGGTGGCATTGAGGGCATCTGCTTCTAAATCCTGAATTCAGTCTCCAGGTCCCACAGGGTATGAGGAAAGAACTAATTCCCAAAGGTTGTTCTCTGACCTCCATACATGCAAGAACACACACACACACACACACACACACACACACTTGTATGCATCCACAGAAAGAAATGTAATAAAAATTCTTGTGAAGACATTTAATTGATGTACCATAGAATTCAACTCTTTAAACTGTGTTCTTCAGTGATTTAATGTATATTTGTTGTATAACCCCTGCAACAATCTAATTACAGAGCTTTTTACCACCCAGCAGAGAAACCTCCCTGTCAGCAGTCCCTCCCAGAACTGGGTGATGGCACACACCTGTAGTCCCAGCGCTAAGGAGGTAGAAGCAGGAGAGTCAGAAGTTCAGGGTCACCCTTGGCTGCGTGGCCAGTTCAAGGCTAGCCTGGGAAAATTGAGGATCCTGTCTCCCAAATAGAAAGAAAGCAAATCCAACAAATTCTGAGTTAAAAATATGAGTTTTGAAACTCATTCTTTTTCAAGATTACTTTTATATTCTTAGCTTTTTGTACTTCAATGTGAGTTTTAAGATCAGCCTTATCTTTTCTAACAGAAGGCCTCTAGGATTTTACTAGCCATTTGTCGGCTCTCACCTCCTCAGGGAATAAGAGTTATTTGTTCTCGAGCCAAATATGGGTGTGGCCATAGCCTAGGGACAGATTTATTCCCCAAAAGCTGTGTCCAGTGTGGTGACAGCTTAACAAAATTTCTATATTCAGAACAAGAGAACAGAAGAAAGTCGTGAAACGGACACTTTTAAGATGCATTAGCAAAGACAGCCGGTCAGTGTCTGCAGTGGGTCTGAGGGGCTGTCTGGTGACAGCTCTGGTGGTCTCTTAGTACATTCCAAAACATTACCTGACAGTCGCAAGGCTGTCTGGTTGCACACTAAGGTGGGCAATGACTGGCTATTGAGGAAGCTAACATGGCCTATCCCCATATGTTCTGATCCACTTGTATGCACCACCATACCTGGCCGACCTGTAGAGTCTTGAACAAAGGTGGAGCTTTCTCCTGGGACTTCAGTGTACACACTATTCCAGATCTGTTGGTCAGTTTGTTGAACACTGTGAGCTTAAAATACTGTCAAATTTTTTTTTTTTTTTTTTTTTTTTTTTTTTTCTTTTTCTTTTTTTTTGAGACAGGGTCTCACTGTATAGCCCTAGCTGTCCTGGAACTGTTGTTGGGGTTTTTGTTGTTGTTGTTGTTGTTTTGTTTTTGTTTTTTTTTTCCAAGTTTTCTGGGCTGTACTGGAGCTCGCAGACCAGCCAAATGCTAGGAATGCAGGCACACATACCATCATGATTCAGGTGTGTGTAAATATGTAGGCATTGCATGACTGTTTTTGTCAGTGTAATAACTGGGGGAAGGTATTTACACATTCTGAAGTTTGACAGAACCCACTACCTAATGTTATCTATTAACCTGGGAGTGAAATGACATCTACAAGCTCATCTCTAACAAGGCTCTTTTGGAAAGGTATGCATTAAGATGGACCTTGAACTGGGCCTAGCCTGGTGAGGCCTGGTGAGGTCTCAGATATGGGCTGTGACCACATGAAAAGCAACTCGTGGGATGGGTTTTCTGTCTTCCCTGTGTCCATTAAAAGTTACTGAAGCAGGGTGTAGTGGACACACCTCTAATCCCAGAACTCAAGAGGCCTCACAAGGAGGAAGGTGAGGCCAGCCTGGTCTAGGTAACAAGTCCCAGTACAGCCAGGGCTACACAGTAAGACCCAGTCTAAAAAAAACAAAAACGAAAAACAGTTAGTTGGATAAATTAGAGAAACAGAGAAGCAGCCTCACAGTGCAGCACAAGCCCTGTGGTCTACGTGTCAGCACCTGGACAAGAGGCAGGAATGGGATTTTCCCGTTGCTCTTGACTACACAGCAAATACCTGTCTTAGAAAAACAGGAAATGAGGTAGAGGTACACACTTCTAATCCTGGCACTTAGAAAATAGACACGACAAATTAGGGGTTCAAAGTCATCTCCCACTACATACTACGTTCAAGGCCAGCCTGAGCTAAACGAGTGAGACCCTCCCTGTTTAAAAAGAAAAGAGAAAGAAAAACACTGTGTACAAAACACACAGTGCACACAAGCCAGAAACCAGCACTGTGCCTTTGGCCTTAGATCATGAGAGAAGTCACCACTAGAATGTTGTTTATCTGTTCATTTCTTTTTTGAGGCAGGGTCTCATAGCCCAGGCTGACTTGTAATACATTGTGTAGCTGAGGCTCTCCCTGAACTCCTGACCCTTCTGCCTCTACCGTCAAACTACTAAGATTGCAGGCGTGCTCTACCACTGCTGTATAGAACACTGTTGCCTAGACTCTTCTATCCAGGCCTCGGGAAAGGGGGTTTCTTATTCTTTATTTCCAGCACTTCTGCCCAGAAACAGGATACTCATGCCTAGCCTTTGGTTGGTTTTAGACACAAAAACGTGCACATACACTTTAACAAAAACAAATTTTAAAAAAGAAAGAGGCGGGGCTGGAGAGATGGCTCAGAAGATAAGAACTGTCTGTTCTTCTAGAGGTCCTGAGTTCAATTCCCAGCACCCACAGGTGGCTCACAACTGTCTGTAATAAGATCTGTGCCCTCTCTGACCTATAGGCCTACATGTAGGCAGAACACTGTATACATAATAAATAAATATTTAGAAAGAAGGGGGGGGCCTGGACAATCCCAACTCTGGTAGGCAGGCAGATCTCTGAGTTTGAGGCCGTCCCGGTCTACACAGTGAGTTCCAGGACTGCCAGAGTTACATAGTGAGACCCTGTCTTAAAAAAGGAAAGAAGTGGCAAAAGGAAGGAAGGAAGGAAGGAAGGAAGGAAGGAAGGAAGGAAGGAAGGAAGGAAACCACAAATTCCAGGCTAGGGGCATGGCTTAGTAAATAAATGCTTGCCATGCGAGCATGAGGCCCTGAGTTCAGGCTCCTGAACCATATGATGAACCCGGTGTGATGATGACGTGATGTAATACCAGTGCTTGGGACAAAGAAAGGCAGGTCCCTGGCGCTCACTGGTCAGCCAGCCTAGCCAACTTGGTGTGCCCCAGATCCCATTAAAAGACCTTGTCTCAAAAGTAGCTCCTGAGAAACAACAATACCTGAAGTTATCCTGACCCCCTCCCCCGCCACACACACACACACACACACACACACACACACACAAATCCCAGATACTACCTCAGATCTTAGCACCTGGAGGCAGAAGCAGGCCTCCACAGCACTGATGGTGCCCCCATCCTGGGGAAGGAAGGATTACTCTGGAATGGTTCTCAGAGAAAGACCCAAGGCCCAATCGGGCATGGGTTGTCAAGTCATCTCTTCAGCTGGAGACTTCATCCCGAACTGCCAGGACCTACCTTTCTGTCCTCCCCAAGCTAGATCTGCATGGACCCTGAGATTTTCCCAGGCTTGAACTCTCAGGATTGGTGGGTTCTATGGGGAGGTGAGTATGGTACTAGCCAAGTGTCCCGTTCCCAAGGATTGTGAAAAGCACTAAGCATTTGCTTTGATCATTGGAGGCATTCCAAAAGGTACCAGTGGCATATTCATGCTCATCTTTTAAAATATTGGTCCAGAGACAGGATCTCACTATGTAGCACTAAGTGTCCTGGAGCTCACTGTGTAAACCATGCTGTCCTCAAATTCACAAAAATCCACCTGCCTCTGCCTCCTGAGTGCTGGGGTTAAAGATGTGTGCTGTCACATCTGGCCCAGATGTTAAGCCTTTTATTCCTAACTTGCATGTCTTGGCTTCCAAAACAGCTATTCACAGAAGGAGCCCTCTCAGAGTTGCTGCCTGCCGTCATAGTCCCCAGCAGCAAGGAGAGGAGGCTCTGATTGTCATCTGTGTTACTCATCTGTCTTTACTTTTCATTCCCAGATGAGCTTTAGTGATTTGTACTTTTTCCAGAAAATGACACTATTCCTTTTCTCTTTTCCTTTAGAGATATGAATCAAGTCCTTGATGCCTACGAAAATAAGAAGCCATTTTATCTGTACACGGGCAGGGGGCCCTCCTCTGAAGCAATGCATCTGGGGCATCTTGTCCCCTTTATTTTCACAAAGTAAGTATTGCTCGTGTGACTTGTCACTTCCCTAGTGAAGCAAGAGGAAGACAGGGCTGCTGCCTGTTGCCTGAGCTACAGGACCAGGACCTTGCCACCTGCTCATTACATTTGCACCTGGACTTAACTCTGACAGAGACAGGGATGATGGGAGACCACCACGGTGGAGCGAGTCAACCAGGCGTGCTCCACTCCTCTTCCTGCTCCTTGTCCTTGTCCTTGCCAGAATAGGCCCACTCTAGTCCAAACCTCATGTCCATGTCTGCCAGATGGCAGGAATTACCTCAGAAAAGATGATTAGTGAAATGTATGGCATTGACAGTGCAGCTTTGCAGTGACAGAGCAGGCAGGAACTGTGCTCACATACAAAATGGGCCTTCTTGCGCAGAGTCTCCATCCTCCGCGCCCCTAAATTTGACTGCAGGGCATGTTCACACCTACCAATGCCTTCTGTGTCTTGTAGGTGGCTGCAGGATGTATTCGACGTGCCTCTGGTCATCCAGATGTCTGACGATGAGAAGTACCTGTGGAAGGACTTGACTCTGGAGCAGGCATACAGCTACACAGTGGAAAATGCCAAGGACATCATTGCCTGTGGTTTCGACATCAACAAAACTTTCATCTTCTCTGACCTTGAGTTTATGGGGTAAGTAAGAAACATTTGGCTGCCTCTGAGCAAGTGGGTGCAGGCGTCATGGCCAACATGAAGTGCTGGAGCTGGGTTTTGGCCTGGTTTGTCTTCTGTTATGATCTGGAATGTTGCTTTCCTTTAGCAGTAATTTTTGAGGTGGGAAGCTGTGTGTGGCATAGAAAGAAGTCATGTCAGAAACTACTGTGGCCTTCATAAACTTATCTTTAGAAATCATAAACATTTGCCCGGCATAGTCACGGTGTCGCCCTCAGCTCTCGCAGTGAAGTGTTTTGCACGGCAGTGTTCCAGAACAGCCAGTCTTGGAGTTTGGTAGCCTTCTCACTTTCAATGGGACTTTTTCCTCAGAGGAAGTTCCATTGTTAGACATGTTCTATACAGTCTCATTTCGTAAATTGGCCATGTTTGTATCGGCAGACTTCATTCTTGAACTTCATCCCCAATCATTACTGAGAACTTTGGTAGAAATCATATTTTGAAGCCAGTATGTCGGTGTGTACCCACACTCAACCCTGGTACTCAGGGGCCTGAAGAAGCAGGATCAGGAGTTCAAGATACCCCAGGGCTATATAATTAGACCCTGTCAGAAGAAACAAAATGGAGTGGAGGCGGTGCTGTTAGTCAGCCATGGTAAGAATGATATTCAAGCCCTGTGAGCTCTAATCCCAGCACTCGGGCTACTGATGTACTCAGACTACATAGTTAGAACCTGTCTCAAAAATAAATAACATCAGACAGTGACTCCTGTTTAGCTCCATGTATCTTTTTTGAGTGCTGTGGTGTGGCTCAGTGGCAGAGCACTTCCCTAGTATGTGTGAGGCCCTGGGTTTGTTCCCCCACCATGGTGGGACTTGGGAGGCATCAAATCTAGAGCACTAGGGAGTTGATTAAGCAGGTTGAATTGGCTTGGGGCTAGAGGCCCTCTTGTGTAGTGTTACAGCCAGTGATTAGGCCAAGGCAATGTGAGGAAGCACACAGCCTGTGGGCACAGAGGTGGTTGGCTGGTGCTGTTCCCCAGCTGCCAAGTGGGAGCTGTGTGTCCACCAGGACAGGAAATCTGACCTCTTGTCAGCTAGGAACATCATTAAAATTTTAAAAATATTTTTATTATGCTGGGTGTGGTAGAACATGTCTTTAATCCCAGTTACATTTTAATTCGAGTGGGTCGAGTGTGTGTAGGGGGTGGGGCGGGGTGCATCTTACAGGATAGTTCTCCACTTCCACCATGTGAGTACTAGGAATCGGATTCAGGTCATCAGGCTTGGTGGCAGACACTTTCAAAAGCTGAGCCTTCTTGCCTGTCCCTCCCCACCCCACAGATTAATTTTTGAGTTTTGCCTATCAGACTGCTTTTCAGTTATGTAAGCATAGAGGCTCTGCTATCTATCCCGGAAGGAATTTAAATGGATCTAAGGTCAAGATCTGACCATGGGTCTTCAGTGGTCTTACGGTAACATGGAGTCATCAGACTTGTCACACTTGTCCCATTGTTTTCACCTCATTCCTTAAAAGAGCCTGATGCAAGTGCTTGAGCTTCAACCCAGAGACACACCATGGATCTGCTGCTCCTCTTACAGCCAGGCTGTTGACAGGGCACAGTGACTGCGAACTTTCATTTGTGAGTCGCCCTCCATGTGTTGCTTAGGCTGACCTTGAACTCCTGGACACAAGTGGTCGTCCTTCCTTAGCCTCCCAGGTAGCTGAGGCCGGAGTCCTGCACCAGCTTCTGGTCTGCAGCATCCCTTACCACTGCAGCCCCTCCCACTCTGGTCTTCCACACTTGAGCCTTGCCCGGTGCCCCAGCATGGGACAGAAGAGCTCACTGTGCTCTTAGCACACAGACTCGTCTGTTTTGGTCCTTTAGCAGCACAGCCATCTCCAATTTGATGGACAGTTAACGGTTCACATCCCTCACCTTTGCAAGCAAAGTGTTATCCTCTGAGCCCTTCACCTCTGTATGGCTAACTCTTTCACTTTTCCTCCAGTGAATGTTAAGACCCCTTTTCCTGGAGAGATGCCCTTCTCTGGTCCCTGCTACACACAACTGCCAATCTGACACAGGGGGCCCTCTGATGGGCCACCGTCCAGTAAGTAAATCAAACACATAGCTCCTTCATCTGCCCTCTAGGGGAAGTGCTTTTCTGGGCCCTGAAAACATAGTGGTTTGGCTAACTCTGCCCTCCCTGGACTCAAATGTCTGTTTGTGTTAGTTAAGGTTTCTATTGCTGGGATGAAACACCATCCTAACCAAAGCAAGTTGGGAAGAAAGGGTTTATTTGGCTTATACTTCCACATCATTGAAGGGAGTCAGGACAGGAACTCAAACAGGGCAGGAACCTGGAGGCAGGAGCTGATGCAGAGGCCGTGGAGGGTGCTGCTTCCTGGATTACTCCATGGCTTGCTCAGCCTGCTTGCTTTTAGAACCCAGGACCACCAGCCATCTATAATGGGCTGGGTCCTCCCCCATCAGTTACTAATTAAGAAAATGTCCTACAGCTGGATCTCATGGAGGCAGTTTCTCATTTGAAGTTCCCTCCTTTCAGACAACTCTAGCTTGTGCCAAGTTGACACAAAACTAGCCAGCATAGTGGCCAAAGGGGAGCAAGTCCATGACGACGATCGTGCGGGTCAGGAGTGAAGAGGTGGGGGAGCGGTCCATAGACTCCTTTCAGCACACTCCAAATGTGGCATTTGCGTGTCTCTGGTGGTCTCAGCTCCAACTGCTGTTCACCTTGGCCCGGTGAGAATTTTGTCTCTCTTCAGGAGTATAGGGTGAAGTTGAGTATCAGAAACACATCTGCCCCATTAAGAATTTCTTCTCTTTGTTTTCTTTTTTGAAATGAGTTCTCACTGTGTTGCCCTGGCCTAGGATCCCAAGTACCGGTGACGACAGATACATTCATGTGCCACCACACCCAGCAAGAATTTCCTTAAACACTTGAGCATTTACTTTCCTGGCTTAAACTTAATCTAGAGTCTTATCTGTGATCTAACAAGCCTGTTGGTCCTTTGGAGCTACAAATACAAAGAAGCCAGGCTCTCCTCTTCTTGGAAAGGAAGGAAGAAGTCAATATGTCCCTCCCCCTGCCTCCCTCCTGCTCACACTGCAGAGGGCCTTCCTTCCAGTGATGTAGTCCCTGTATGTCCCTCCCCCTGCCTCCCTCCTGTTCACACTGCAGAGGGCCTTCCTTCCAGTCATCCAATCCCAGTTCTGCTCCAGCTTGGTCACATCCTCTTGGGTAAGTCCCTGTATTTCCCAGTTCAGTTTTTCTTGCTAGAAATGGAACTGAGAGCCTCATTCATGTTAAGCAGGTGTCTACTAGTCACCTACATTCGTAGTCTCTACAGTTTATCTTCTGACGGGGTAGTCACTTAACACATAATTAGGTGATGGTGAGGTCACGGTGGGAGACGAGGAAAAGGTGGAAGTGAAGAGGTTAGAGGTGCTGGTCCATGCTGCCAGGCTTGTGGGCACTTTCTGAGTTGATGCACATAAAGCCCCTCAAGCGGTGCCTGGCACCTAGCGGGCCTGGACAGTGTTGCCTTCCAACCATCTTCCAAGTGTGGAGCTGAATGTGGGAGGAAGGTCTTCCCTGGAGCAGTGGTAAGAATCACGTGGGGTCTGTCCCCATGCGGGCTCCATTCTGCTGCTACTACCAGGGCACGTCTTGTGCAGCAGGATCTGGCTAGAAGACCAGTTCACGGGTGATACCCGTTCAGTCATCTTGATCCCCAGAATGCTTGCCGCCTTCACTGGTCTCTTCCCAAAGGCTGTGGCACTCTGCAGATCTGTTGTGCCGAGCATACGACTAGATGTGGGGATGCTCCTTCACTACCCTCCCCCTGCTCAACCGGGACTGAACCCCTGCTGACTGCTAAGTGGACACCATAGAGAATACCCACTGCTGGCCCTGTGCCCATATGGACCAATGTACCCCTCTCTCCTGTCTCCACCTTCCGCCTGCCCAGAGACACTCAGGATCACACTCTCATCAAAGCTGCACCACAACTATGTCAGGATAAAAAAGGCTCAGACTTCGAGGCCAGGTGAAACCTGGTTAGATTTCAGCTCCTGTGTGCACAGGGCCTGTGACGGTGACCTGGACTCTCAAGCCTGAGCCTCCATTTGAGACGCCAAGGCCATGCTTCTCAAGGGGATTGTGCCAATCACTATGCCACATCGTATGTGCCTTGGTCATTCTCCCATTGTAGTGGAGACCCACACACCTATAACTGATGAAAACTGTGTTCATAGGTGTAGATGTTTGTCTGTGTCTGCCGGCTTCTGTTGCTGTGACTAGACACCGTGGCCCAGACAGTTTACTGTCATCAAGGTGGGGAATGAATAGACACCGTGGCCCAGACAGTTTGCTGTCATCAAGGTGGGGAGTGCAGCGCACTGGTGCCGAAGCAGTGGCTGGGACTTTGTGTGCAGCTGGCAGAGGAGGACTGGGCTTGGCATTGACCTTAAAACCTCAACGCCTGCCCCTGGTGACACGCTTCCACAATGTGGCCACACCTTCTAATCCTCAAACAGTTCACCGACTGAGGACTAACCTTACAAACCAGACCACCACAGCCTACATGTATGTCTGTGTGCCACATGTATGCAGTACCCAGAGAGGCCAGAAAGTGAGCCACCATGTGGATGCTGGGAACAAAGCCAGGTCCTCTGGAGAAGCAGCAGTGCTGTTATTCACTGAGCCATCTCTCCAGCCCCAGTAAAGACATGTATTGTGCCCAGTTCTCAGTCCAGAAACATGGTACTGGCATCTGACAAGGGTCTGTGCTCTGTCACCCCCTAGCTGAGGACAGGAAGGAAAGCAAACCCTTGAAGGGAGGAAGGTATAACTAACCCATTCTATAACCAGCCTTAACCAGGCCTGCCCAGTGCCATGATAGTGGCAGTGAAATTTCACATTTAGGTGGGCCTGCCTCTAGCATAGCTCCTGCCAGACACTGCAGTCTGTCTACACTGCCTTCCTTTCTGTCTTTCCAGTGCATAGCAAAGGGCCAGGCTGAAGAAGGGGTTACTGTCAACAAACACAGTATAAGAAGGGGGGGGGGGAGGCCCAGAGAGGGATGTCTCAGAGGTTAAGAGCATTTACTGCTCTTGCAGAGGACCCAGGTTTGGTTCCCGGCACTTACAAGGTGGCTCACAGCTATCTGTGACTCTTGTCCCAGGGGCCAACACACTCTTCTGGGGTACCTGGCATGCATGGGACACACATACCTGCGGACAAAGCACTCATAAATAAAAGTTTAAAAAGAGGCCACTCTGGATCCTGCCAGCCTCTGTGCTCTGTCTCAGCCTGCTTCCCTCTGTTATCAGAATGGCTGCCACAGATCTAGGCATCATATCCATGGCCTTCACCATCCAGAAATGCCATGGTGCTCAAACCAGGCAGTATGGCCCACCCCTGTTCCTGGGTATGAAGCCAGCCCTGCCCAAAGTACAGCCTGCCACTGCAGTAGCGGGAGTAGTAGCCGGATGCTGGGAGGAGCGTGCTGAGGTCAGCCAGGGATACACGGAGAAGCCCGGCAGTTCCCGTGCATTCCAGCTGGGCACACGTGTCTCACCACACCTTCGTGTCAGCAGATGGCAGTGGGGCTTCTTCCTTGAGATCCACAGTCCACTGAGTGCTGCCTCTGTTCACACCCCTTCACAGTTAGAGGTGTGACTGCTGTGTGTGCCTGCCTGCAGATGACTTCTCCATACATTCCTGTTATGCATGAGCTGAACACGTGTGTTACCCACTTTTAGCTGCTGCTACTCTGTTGTCCATGGAGGCTGCCCTCCAGGTCAGGTGTGATTCTGCTCATCTCTACAGGCAGAGCCCAGGCTTCTACAAGAATGTGGTGAAGATTCAGAAGCACGTCACGTTCAACCAAGTGAAAGGCATTTTTGGCTTCACTGACAGTGACTGCATTGGTAAGGGACTGCTGCTGCTTGAGGACCCTTTTCTGTATGACAGTCGAGCTCAGAGGAGACTAGCCAGTGTTCCTAAGAATCACAGATCAGCAATGCTAGGCAGTGATGGTGCACGACTTTTTTTTTTTTTTTTTTTTT